AGGCTTAGGCAGATGGGGGGGCAGCGGGGGCCGCTGACCGTGACAGGCAGCTGCATTTCTAACATCCTTCTACCAATATACCCACTGTCGCTCCTCTGCTGTACCTCTGATGATCTCATTCCTAATCTTATCCCTCCTTGTCACTCCTAAGGAGAACCTCAACATCTTCATTTCTGCCACTTCCAGTTCTTTCTCCTGTCTTTTTGTTCATGCCACTGTCTCCAGAACATACAATATAGCTGGTCTCGCCACTGTCTTGTAAACTTTTTCTTTGTCCTTTGCTGCTACCCTTTAGTCACAAATCACTCCTGACACTTTTCTCCATCCATTCCATGATGTCTGGACTCTTCTTCACCTCTTGACCACATGTCTTGTTTTTCTGTAAAGTTGACCCTAAGTACATGATCCATGTCTTTTGTTATTAGTAGTAGTAGTAGTAGTATTTCTGTGATTCTGGTATCTTGTACTTGTGCTTCAGCTTCACCAGTGTTTTTCCCCTCATGTAGTTCAGCTCCTGCCCCTCCTACTACTGTATCACCTGATCCTCATTGTTCCTCCCCGTATGTTGTAATTTCTCAATCGCTAGTTTTCTTTTAAAGCTTGTGTCGTTTTTTTGTTGTCTTTCAAGTCATTCACGTTTGTTTTTCCCTTTGAGTCTTCCAGTGACTATTCCTGTGAGTATTTTTCAGCCCCGTCAGACTTTTATTTCGATTTTGTTAAGAAATTAGTAATTAAATTTACCCTCGAGTTTCTGTTGAGTTTTGCAGTTTTTGGAGGGTTCTGCATATGGGTTCAGATTTTCACCCAAACATGATCCTGCACCTTTGTGACCTCTGCTCCTTGTAGTCACTGTTCCACCTCTCATTCACACACACACATACAAGCGGCTGTGGTTGAGTGGTAAGAGAAATGTGTGTTTGTTTGCCCTGCGTTATAGTCCGCTTCCTGCTTGCGGAGCGGCGCCCGGTCTGCTAACATTCACACTGTACTGGAACCGTGCTTGAGTTTTCTTCTACCGGACCGAGACCTAGGTTTTAGACCGGGACAGAGTTCGCCTTTTTGTTCTATGACAGAGTTCGATGGCGTGTTCACACCTCCCCAAACAAACCGGACTTCCTAGGCAAATGGGCTAGAGTTCGGGACAACAGGGCTGGTGTGAATGCACCCTTAGTGTCATCTGCAAATATCATAGTCCACAGGGATTCCTGCCTGCCTGACCTCATCTGTCAATAGGTCCATCACAAGAGCAACAAAAAGGGGCTCAGAGCCGATCCTTGATGCACACCTCCACCTTGAAGCTATCTGTCACTCCTACAGCACATCTCACCACTGTCCTCCTGTCCCCATACATGTCCTGTACCAGTCTAACATACTTCTTTGACCACACCTCTTCCCTCAGCACTAGACACAGGTGCTTTTACTTTGGGTCCTACTGAGCTCATACTGCCACAGATTTCCATTGTAGTCAATCAAGTGGGTGCTTTTTATGTTTCTGGCAGATGAACTGCAGATAATTACAGCTTATACACTTTAAGGTTATTTTCTAATCTGCCCAATTGCTGCACACTGTTTTATCCAGATGTGCATTTCATTTGGTTGAACAGCCCAAAAATTTGTCATTACAAAACAACAGACTCTAAAACAACAGTTTTTTTTTTTATGTTTACACTGACTTTCATTCATTTATATATTGTATTCGGTATGTCAACATTATGTGAACCACTTTTCAGTGTTGTGGCTTCACCGCAGCTGAAGTAAAGACGAGGATGAAAAGCTTGAATAAGATAGTCGTTGAGAAAGCACACGCTCTGATGCATCTTGATTTCTCTGCAGTTTCCCTTCAGAGTTATTTCTCCTGCAGTTCCTGATTCATAATTGTATTTTGGGAAATAGCTGTAACAGTGGAGACCCATTAGCAATCTACTGGTGATAATTAGAAGTAATTGCTTTTCTTTGGGATTTACTGAAGGCAAGACACAAATCCCAAGGTTCACGCCATTGTTTCTTCCCATGCAAATAAACAACACACGCATCTCTTAACTTGCAGCTTCAGTTTGAATGATCTGTTGAAAGAAGAAGGAAAATAAAAAAAATAAAAAAATGATGCTCTTATAAAGATAAGCACGACAGAAGTTTTTTTTTTTTTTCTTGTGGAAGCAAAAGAAGTAGAAGAAGCAGGAATCCAGTTTTCCAAACGTGACAATACAGATAAAGTTGTTTCAACCATTTGACTCGAGTGTCCAAATGTCACCCAAAGCATGACACACTAACACACGACTGAAGCCAGCTGAAAAGTATTGCACAACCCGAAACAAACTTTCTCCAGTTTTGCAGGTAAAAATACATTTGTATTGAAGATAATCAAGGAAATAGTTCCATGTAACAGACAAGCAAACAACACTGCAGCCCTCTGCAATTAAAATCCTAGTCATCCTGCACCAGAGGCTATGTGAAGCCCAATTTCCTCGAGCGTTCTCATGGCATGGTTTCCCTCTCTTTATGTTTTTCCCTTTCTTTGACTTTTTCTTGTAGTGACTCAGCCTACTGATGCTGATCACGGTTGTTATGAGTGACATATCCAATCTGAACTCGAACTGGCTGCTGCTGAAACAGTTACCACAGTTTTTTAATGGGACAGACTAATAAAAATTATTATTCTTATTCAAAATAAAGAAAATGCTCTTGTCATGTTCACTTTGAGCTTCCTGACTCGAGCATGTCACATGACTGTCCCTGCAAAAACACTTAAATATGCATCCACCTCACACACACCACAGTCCTGTCACTCAGTCATAACAGACAGAGAAGCCCTCTAAAAAGATCTCTCTCCCTCCCTCTCTCTTTCTGTCTCTTTCTATCTCTCATTTGTCAGTTTTTCCTCCCACACTTCAGACAGCCACAGATCTGCTGTTCATGAGCAGCAGAATACAGCTGAACAACAGTGCTGTCCAAAACGTCCCGTCTGCTGCTGAGAAATCTGGCAACAACCCAGTCGTGATCATCTGCTCATAGTGTCTTCCTCTCATGCAAGATTGACTCTCTTTTGGTCGTTTACTACATCCTTGAACATTTAAAAGTTCTATTTTATTTTTCATTTGCAGAGTAACGTTGTATTTTGTGTATTTTTTTCTGATCAAAGTCACTTGATCTTATTACAGCTAGACAAGAAACAACACTAGCTTGTCAGTTCTTTCTAACACTGTGACTCATTCAAACAGCACTTCAGTGAAAATTGTCTCTGTCCTGTTAATGGGATTTTCTATTCATACCCTGTGGGACATATTGACGCCAAGGCTGTATATGAAGTAAATATCACATAAATCAAAATTTTAAACCCTGAAAACATTAAAAAATACATAATTTAAGAAATGATTATGTTGATACTTTTGGGGGAG